AGCTTTCAAGTTGAGCCTGGACAGAGGAGCCAGGTTCTAGTCCCAGCTCAATTTATTATTAATCTGTGAAATAGGGTAGTAACATCAAGCCTCACTCTCTCTCAGGGGTTCTGCCAGCCTTAAACAGAAAAGCCTTGAAATGCTTTCCAAAGGCCCAACACGGCTTAGCAGCCATTAAAAGCATCTTATATATATATAGACATATAAAGATGTCATAGATATATGAATGTTATAGTCTTGTGGATTTCAATTTTTATTTATTTTTAAATATTTTATTATTTATTTGACTGCATCCAGTAAGATGAGATGGTTGGATGGCATCACCGACTCCATGGATGAGTTTGAGCAAGCTCCAGGAGTTGGTGATGGACAGGGAAGCCTGGCGTGCTGCAGTCCATGGGGTCGCAAAGAGTTGAACAGGACTGGGTGACTGAACTGAACTGAACTGAGTCTTAGTTGCAAAATGGGGGACTTTTCATTGCTTGGGCTTAGTTGCTCCTCTGCATGTGGAATCTTAGTTCCCCAACCAAGACCAACGATTGAACTTGAGTCCCCTGCATCGCAAGGTGGATTCTTAACCACTGGACCACGAGGGATGTCCCTCAATTGTTTTTACACTTGATCTTAGCCAAAAGGCCGAGAAGTGATCCCTCAATTGTTTTTGTATTTAATAAATTTATTTTTAATTGGAGGATGATTTTTTTACAATATTGTGTCAGTTTCTGCCATATATCAACATGAACCAGCCATAGGCATACATATGTCCCTTCCCTCTTGAACCTCCCTCCCACCTCCCACCCCATCCCACCCCTGTAGGTTATCACAGAGCACCTGGTTTGAGCTCCTGTCTCAGATAGCAAATTCCCACTGGTTATCTATCTATTATCTATTACATGGTAATGTATATGTTTTAATGTTACTCCTTACCCCACTCTGTCCACAAGTCTGTTCTCTACATATGCCCTGCAGATAGGTTCGTCAGTACCATCCCCTCAATTTTTTTTTTCTCAATTGTTTTTAAAAAGAGAAAAATACGGTATACTTTAATAAATAAAAAACAAAACAAGTTGGAGAACAGCATGAATGGTATTCATTTTTATTAAAATAATTAAATATATGCCCTAGACTACAAACATTTGACACTGGTATGAAGGGGGGCATAAGGGAGCCTATCAGTTTTTATATGTCTATATGTAATTTGTAATATATTTATATATCAATATATGTATTTTAACACATCGACATGTATTTACATTCACATATTTATTAAATATATCTGTATTTGCCTTTGATTCTTTTACAATTAGCGCATATTTATTGTTAAAAAATCATTAAAGTGAATGTGACATCATTTTGATGACATTAGGCCTGATCCCAAGCATGACAAACTTTCACTTGTCTTTTAATTCTATTCTGTGGTTCTGTGGGGAAGTGGTGGCAAAAAATAATAAACGGACAGGGAGAACCACAGGATTGGGGTTAGGGGAAGAGTGTATTGGGAAGTGGAACCCAGACCCAGTGGAAGGATCATGGCCATCAGCTGGGAGCAGCCCTCTCCCCTCCCTGAGCAGGGGCTGGATTTCCAGGAAGAGGTCACTCTCCAGCCTCAGAACTCAGTACTGTCTTCATGCCCCAGTCCTCCTGCCTTCTTGTTCATTGGCTCCTGGTTCCTTGGGCTGTCTCTGTTCTCAGGATTACTTAAAAGCTCCAAATAAAATAATTATATATCCAGCTGGATGGAAAGGCAGAAAATCAGGAAATTCTCTTAGGGAAAAATGGTGGTGTATATCAAATCTGACACCAAGCTGACCTTCCCACTTGAGGAAGAGGAAATGAGTTCAAGTGGAACACACTGACACCCTCCTCAGCTACTCACACACCCCAAAGCAGAAGGCCTCTCAGATAGCCTGATCCTGCTCTCTGGGCCAGGACCAAGCATAAACACTGATGGGAATCACCCAACCACAGGGATGCGTTGGAAAGTTGTTCACCCCCTTACAGCTCCATCCACTCATTCTCACACCCAAATCTGGGTAGGCTCAGCTGGACTGAAAAAGTTAAAAAATAAAATATGAAAGCAAACACTTAGTAGTACTTACACTGGAGGCCAACTGCTGTTCCAAGCGCTTGATTTAACCCTCACAAGCACCCTCAGGGTAGATACTATACCATCATCCCCATTTTATAGATGAGGAAACTGAGGCACAAATGTGAACCCAGACAGTTGGGCTCTGGCTCCAAGCTCTTCACCAGTTAGTTCCCTGCACTGCCTCTCAGCAAGGCATCATGAGCACTGCTTTGCAGGCACCGTGCACCTCTAAATCAATCCCTCATTTGCCTCATATGGGCAAATATCCAGATCTGGGCCAGGTAGCCATGGCTAAGTGCTCCCACTCTCATGCCCTTCTCCAGGGACAGGGCTTGGGAGAAAGGAGCAGGGCTACAGAGAGAAAGTCAAGTAGGTGAAGGCCCAGGGGAGAGTCAGTACATGCCATAGAAGGGGCACTGGGTGGGCAGCAGGAGGCAAGTTTTAGCCTTGGCTTTGCTATATGCACTTTAAGTGAATTTTCCTCTCAGATAAAAAAAACTTTCACCAGCACCTAGGAATACAATGCATGGTATATAGTAGGTACTCAATAAAATGTTTGGAGAAGGCAAAAGCACCCCACTCCAGTACTCTTGCCTGGAAAATCCCATGGATGGAGGAGACTGGTAGGCTGGGGTCCATGGGGTGGCTAAGAGTCGGACACGACCGAGCAACTTCACTTTCACTTTTGACTTTCATGCATTGGAGAAGGAAATGGCAACCCACTCCAGTGTTCTGGCCTGGACATTCCCAGGGATGGGGGAACCTGGTGGGCTGCCGTCTATGGGGTCGCACAGAGTCGGACATGACTGAAGCGACTTAGCAGCAGTAGCAGCAATAAAATGTTTACAGCTAAATGGACAATCTTAGATACCTGCCAGCTTGTCACACCCAATGAGTCTGCCAGGAAGAACCCTCCCCACTCTATCACCTACCAGCATCTTTGAAGAGAACTCAGCAGGGACAAAGCTGAAGGAACTTCACTAGTCTGTCTCCTCTAGCTCCCTATTTCCTTTTCACTCAGGAACATGCTGCCGCCTCATGCTTCCATCAGTAAATACTCTCATTCAAAACAACAAATCATTAACTAGCCTCTGGATTCCAGTCTAATAGACTTCCCAAACGGGCTACTCTTGAAAAGCCTGAAAAAAAAACAAGAAAAGCCCGGAGTTAGTTAGCCTGTCTCCTCTCCATTTACTGAGCACAGCCAAGCACCCACTTGTGTATATATATGGGGGAGACAAGGGCATATAAGACACAATTTCTTCCTGTCCTCAAGGAAGGAGAGTCTACAAATAACTATAAAATACAGGCAGAAAGGGGAAGTGGAGTTATTGCAACAGACTCTGTTTTAGCCTTAAGATGGGGGAAGGAAAAGATATCTGCTTCTTTCATACTTAACCTCAGCGTATATTCCCTGCAGCTGGGTGGGGGAATGTGTTTTTTCCTTCTCTGAGCAGGGACCTGAGACCACTACTCTTCCCTCCCTCTTCCCTCCCCCCGCAGGGACCCATCCATCAGCATTCCTCCCCCAGTGGGTGATGCTATCTCGCCACACAGGTTTGGACTTGCAGGTCCTGGAAAGTTTTGCTTCTTCCTGTCTGGGAATTCGTCTGGGACCCAAGGAAAGGTCATCAACCTCTTTTCTAGGACAGGCAGGGCCCTCATGCCCACCTTAAGCACATTCCAGGACACACCCTGAGCCGACCCTCCCTCCATCCCCACCCTGCTTAACTGCTGGCTCTGCTTCCTCTGAGAAGCCCAGGTTTGGGTGGGAGGAGGAAAGGCAGATACAATCAGAGGTGAGGCAGGGAGGGGCTCACAGAACTTGAGTTCCTGGTACTGGTACTATTTCCTGCCCTGATGGCTCCCTCACCCTCACTCACTCAGGGTGGGGAAGAATCAGGTACAGACAAGATCACGGTCTGTCAGCCATTCACTGCTCTCTCCTCTGCAGCCCTTCACTTGGGTTTCACGCAAGCATACAGGCCCTGATGGGACCAGGTGATGTGGACAAGGGGTGCATTTGTGGCCAGAGAGGCAGAAGGCAAGCGGCACACATGTGCTGAGCTGCAAGCCTATTCATGCAGCAAGCCTCTGGATTTGCCACAAGGGGTGGTCACAGAAGCAGCTTGAGCCCCTGGAATCTTTGCTCAGGGGCTTGGACATCCACTCCGTAGGCTCCAGAGATTGTCTCACCCTGGATGTGGAGTAAGGTTTTTGCTTGGCAAATGGGGAGGGTGCCTGTCCCCAGGGTAACAAGATATGGAGGACCTCGGTGCCTCAGGCTTTTCCCACCCATTTTTGTTGAAAGGCAATTCCACAGCTCTCAGTTTAAGGTGGAGGCAGTCTTAGAGAGGACTTCCCTGGTGGCTCAGTGGTAAAGAATCTGCTTGCCAATGCAGGAGATGCGGGTTCAATCGCTGGATCAGGAAGATCCCATGGAGAGGGCAATGGCAACCCACTTCAGTATTCTTGCCTGGCAAATCCCATGGACAGAGGAGCCTGGTGGGCTACAGTCCATGAGGTCACAAAGAGTCAGACACAACTTAGCAACTAAACAAGTCTTAGTGAAGCTAGAAAGACAAACGTTCCACTGGTAATCCCACCTCTCTCCTCACAACCTCCAGGTGCCCCCTTATAAGAATTCCTGAGGTGGGTACAGGTGAGGATGAGTAAATGAGATCAATGATCAATTAAAATTGTTTATTTTAAAGTGGAAAGGGGGAAGGGAGTGACACAGAGGCAACTTTTGGCATCTTCTTTCCAGGCCATCACCCCATGTGCTTCCCAACCCAAAGCACTGGCAGACAGGCTGAGGGGCCAGAGAGCCATAAGGTCACAGAGAGATCTGTTCAGCCCTGGAGAGGTGGGGTTCAAGGGTCCATCCCAGCTCCCTGGTCCTGGAACAGGGTCAGAGCTCAGGAGTGTAGGGCTCCCCAGTGGGTGAGGGCACCCGCAGCTCAGCATCATGCCTGACCACAGTGAAGAGTCCCACCACCGCCAGCAGAGCCATCACCATGACGGCGGAGCAGATGCTGAACATATTCCGAGTGCCCGTTTTGCGATCGCTGTCATGGAGGACCAGGAGTCCCAGGCAGGCCAGTAAGTGCAGGGGCACCCGGAACCAGTTGAGGACACCAGCTTGCTCAGTCTCAGGGATCACCTTTCTCCGCAGGAAGCTCATGCTGGGGAAGTACAGTCCACAGGCCAATTCGATAAGGAGGAAGGCTATGAAAGATTCCACTGGACTCTCCTGGCCTGGGCTGGTAGAGAAAGTCAACATGAAGAGGGAGAAGACGACGATGAGGACAGCGAGGGAGAGTAGATGCATGGGCTGAAGGTGGTACCTCTTGGAGGTAGCGATACGGTAGAGGGAAGAGCCGAGCAGGCTGGCTGCCATGAAGCTGGAGAAGATGATGCCCAGCGGAGCCCCATGTGGGTCCAGCACAGGCGTCCAGAGGAAGACAAAGATGAAGATGACACTCTCAAACAGGGCCTGGATGGTGCCCAGCAGCAGCACACGACGGTCCGACAGGAGGCAGCGCAGGCCCCCAGCACAGGTCCTAGAGAAGGCACGCTGCCGATCATAGTTCTCTCCCCAGTTATGAAGGGCCAAGGCCCCAGCCAGAGCCAAGAGAGGGATGGCGGCCACAAAGGGGGCTACAGGCCCCAGGCCCATCCAGCAGGCCACAGCCTCAGCTGCCACACCTGCCGCTACAGCCAGCACATGGTTCCAGAAGGCAGCTCGGGCAAAGGTAGCTGGGATCCACTCGGCGGGGAAGTCATGCCGTTCCAGGTGCTCATGGATATACCAGGCCTCAAAGGCTGAGAAGAGCAGGGCTGTAGACAACCCACCTAGTGCTCGGCCCACGAGCAGCACAAAGTAGTCCCGAGAGAGTTTGGTTAAGCAGCAGAGAGAGTAAGTGAGGGAGAAGAGGACGCAAGATTTCTTGCGACCCAGCCAATCCACCAGGGAGGAAGCCACCAGTCCAAAGAGGACGGTGGAGGCAAGGCCACAGACATAGAGGATGGCAATCTGTGCCTCCAGGAAGTGGTAATGCTGATAGAGTTTGTAGAGGTAGGGGGCCTGGAGCCAGTCAGCTGCCAGGGCCAGGAAGTAAACCTGATAGAAGTCCAGTTGAAACCGAAGGAAAGAGGGATTGCTGCAGGCCCTTCCAGAGGGCTTAGCCCGGCATCTTGACAGCTCCAACCCCAGGCAGGAGGCCAGGAGGACCACAAAAGCAAGGTAAGCAGTCACCAGCATGGCCGGCCCCCGGACGACCTGGGAAGAGAAGGGGGCTTCAGAGTCACATCCATTGCCCCGGTAGCGCTGTCAAGGGGCTGCCTGTCTAAGCAGAAGGCGGATCCACCCAACCCCCCTGCCAACAGCACTCCCCCACCCCTCGATTCCACTCCCCCAGAGCTCAGACCGGAGGGACCAGTTGGGTGGGTGGTAGGAGTGGCCGGCAAGAGCGGTCTCCAAGGACACTGTGGGGCAGGGAGGGGTGTGAGAGGAGAGAAGGCTGAGCCTTCGCCCCGCCCTTGCCTGGCATAGCACAGAGGGAGTACCTAGTCCCAGCCCCGCAAGTTCAGGGGCTGCTGCCCTCCCCCACAACAGCGTTTACACACTGTACTTCCTTCTGTTACCTCCCATCCTCTTTGGGGAGCCTGGTCTTTGCCCTCGAGGTCTCGTCATCTGTCCCAGGCATCCCTAACACCCGCGCAGGCCTCTAGAGTTGCTTCAGGTCACGCGCGTGCATCTCAGATTTCCCCCTCCTTCGGATCAGGGCACCCCGCCTGCGCCCCCTAGCCCCCGCCACACACGCTCGCGCCTTGCCCAGACCCTGGTCTCACCTGCTGCCCCGGTCTGCGGGGACGCTCCGGACACGTCCGGCTCCAGGCCGCCCGGCCGCCCTTCCCGCTGTACCTCCAGCTCTGGCTCCGGCTCGGGTTCCACCAGCGCGCCCGCCCCTCACAGCCTGCTTCCGGGAGCTGGGGAGGCCTCTGGCCGCCGCCATGATGGCCCCATCACGTGACGGGGGCGCGGCGTTCAAACCCCGCCCCTGCTCCGCCTCTAGCCGCGACTCGGTGACAACCTCCGGACGCCGCCGGCGGGGCCAAGACTGGAGGCGGTGGTAGTCGCGGTTTCTGCTCCTGGTTCACTCCCATCCGTGGCCTTCCCGTGACACTCGCTTCTTCGACTCCCGGATACCTACCGAGCCCCCTGGAAATAAAGACCCATTTTCAGTCTCTTCCTCCGTGTCGTGGGTTACGGAGCGCTGCTGTGCCTAAGACAATGCCAGGAGTTCCGCAGAATCGGGGGTTTGATCTTCTTAAGGAACATTGTCACCCTAAGCCGAGACGGGCTTCTCGATTTTCTCTTCTCCCACAATAGTGACTTCCTGGCCAGAAGTCAGTATGGCTCAGACACCTGAGGGAGGCAGTGTGGTGTAAAGGACTTGGACTTGGCTTGCAGACCGCTAAGGCTCAAATCCCACCCCTGTCACTTACCAGCTGTGTCGCCTCGGGCAAGCCATATGACTTAGTGTCCCAGTTTCTTGGTCTGCATCATAGGAGAGCAGCGCCCAACTGAAAAAGGCTAAAGTTCAGTGGCGGTCAAGAGTTAAGAACTTCAGCCTTGGAGTTGGACGCCCACCCTCTACTACTTACCAGCTGTGGTACCTGGGAAAGGTTATTAAACCTCTTTCCAGCTTTAGTATTATCTCCTCAAAACCCTCCAATGGGGAACTTCCCTGGTGGTCCAGTGGCTAAAACTCCTTCCAATGCAAGGGGCCTGGGTTCCATCCCTGATCAGGGAACTAGATCCCACATGCTGAAAGGAAGATCCCACCTGCCATAATTAAGACTCAAGGAAGCCAAATAAGTAAATAAATATTTTAAAACAAACAAAACAAAACAAAACAAAAAATACACCCTCCAATGGTTTCTTATCTCACTAAGCAAAAAAGCCAGAATCATAATAGCCTACAAAATCCTTTGTCCTCTTTTCCGCTGCCACTTCTCTGACCTCATCTCTTACCATTTTCCCTCCTGTGCCTTCTACTCCATCTACACTGGCTATCACTAGGGCCTTTGCACACTGTGCCCTGTGAAGGTCTGGTTCTCCCAGATACCCACATGGTTCCCTCCTTCAGCTCCTACAATTCTCTGTTCAAGTGTCATCTTATCAGAGAGGCCTTCCTTGCTCATACTGTTTGAAAAGGCAGCACCACCTCTGTCACAGTAACCTACCTGCTTCTCTATTCTCCTTTGCTGCCTTTTCTTCATAGCACTTAATACTATTGGGCATACTGTATATTTCACTTACTGTTTCTTCTCCCTACAGATTTCTGCTTTGTTCACTTATATTTCCAGTACTTGAAACATTTAATGGTACATAAAAGGCATTCCATAAATATCAGATGAATAAATAAATTAGTAAGATAATACATGTAAATTATTCTAAAAAAGTGCTGGTCTTTATTATCTGGTAACTCTTATCAAACAGTTTTTTTTTAAAGATTATTTATTTTTGGCTGGACTGAATCTTTATTGTTGCATGGGCTTTCTCTAGTTGCAGCCAGTGGGGTGGGGACTACTCTAGTTGCAGTGTGAGGGCTTCTTTTTTTGCAGAGCATGAGCTCTAGGGCACGAGGGGTTCAGTAGTTGTGGTATGTGGGCTTATTTGCCCCTTGACGTGTGGAATCTTCCCGGACCAGGGATTGAACCTGTGTACCCTGCATTGGCTTGTGGATTCTTTAACCACTGGACCACCAGGGAAGTGCATCAGTTATTATGTATTACATCTAAGCTCTGTTTTAGGAAGTCCTGGGCCAACTGCTATAGATGAACTGTTTAACTGTCACAACAACTCATTAGGTAGGTACTTCAGAATGGGAAAGGTTAAGTAACACGACAGGACTCACATGGTAAGAGGTAGAGTCAGAACTGGGACCCAGATCTTCCCAATTCCACACTCGTGATTTCTGAGAAGATTAAATGTGTTCACTCACTTGCACAGGTGATTAGTAAGTGTTGGTTTTCTTTATACTAAAGAAGGGTGGGAGAGTCTGGAATTATATCTTGAGAAATACTTTCTTATGATAAACAGCTGAGATTTATATTCCACAACTTCCAAAGTGCCTTTATCCCTAACTGGCAAACTTCTAGAGAATAGGAAAGTGTATCGGTTCCCATGCTTCGTCTAGAAGCACAAAGCTCAAAGATCATGATTTCCCAAGGTCACTCAGTGAGTAAGGGCATGGGGGAATCCAAATGGCCTCCATCCTGGTCCTGGACTGAAAATCCTTCATCTCCTGACACCCAGTCGCTCAGTTCCTGGTGATCTTTTCTTTGAGGGAGGAGGTCACCCTGAATGATAGCAGGAAGTGGGACAGGATGGTCTTACATGCCTTGTCTTCTGTTTTCCAGGATGGAGGCCAGTGTTCTCCATTACTGAGTTGCATTTTTGTCAGAAGCACCTAAGAAAGACTTTTGGGAAGGTTACATTATTTTGGATTATTTTTATCATGGGACCTATTCAAAATACGTTTTCTCTTTAAGGTTCCCCTGGCCCCTCAGAGCTGTGAAGCACAGCTGAGAAAGATCCTTTACATGGGACACGTACCAGCAGAGCCGCAGAGGACTGGAGGGGATAGAGAATCTCCTGGGAGGGCAAATTCATCTCTAGGACCCACTTCTAGTAGAGGGCTAGGAGGACCAGGGTCTGTATGTGGGGAGTTACAGGGGAAGTCTGGCTTTCAGAGCAGGCAGGGAGGATGCTCTGGGAATTACTAGGAAGCATGCTTACAAAAACAGCATCATTTAAAACTTTTATTATGAAAATGTTCAAATATACTTAAAGGTAGAGAGGTTCTATGAAACCTTATATACTTAATTCAACAATATTGACTTTTGTCCCTTTGTTACTTCTCCTCCTTTCTTTCTTTTTTTACTTGCCAAAATACTTAAATACATCACTTCATTCCATGCTTCAGTATGCATCTCTAGGAAATCAGGACCTTTTCTTACATAACCTCAAGGCCATTTTCACATTTAACAAAATCAACACTGATTCCTTGGCATTGTAAGTACTCAGTTCATAGTTATATGTTTTCAACAGTCTAAAAATATCTTTTTACAACTGGGGGGGGTCCCCCCATCAGGAATCTAACAAGGTCCACTTATTCTATGTAGTAGCTATCTTTGTACACCCCCTCTCATTGACCCTCCTGTTCAGCCATTGACTAGTTGAAGAAACCAGGTCAGATTTCCTTTAGAATGTCCCACATTCTGGATATTTTGTTTTACTTCCTTGTTGTGCCATTTAATTTGTTCTCCACCCCTATATTTCCTATTAAATGGACGTTAGCGGTAGGTTTTGATTAGAATCATGTTCAGTTTTTTTGTTTGTTCCTTTGTTTGGCAAGAGTCCTTCACAGGTGGTGCTGAGTGCTTCAGATTGCATCATACCAGGAGGTATAGGCTATGTGGTTGTGCCCTTTTTAGTGATGCTAAGATTCATCAGTGGGGTCAGGTAGTTACAGCTTCAATACTCCATCATAAAGTTCTGCATCAACCACCATCCTTAGCTTCATCCATTGAAGAGTCTTGCTCTGATCAATTATTTCATTAGGGTTTGCAAAACGGTGATTTTCCTAATTCCATTTTTCTTCTACATTAGCTGGAGTTCTTCTGTAAAAAAGAAATTTCCTTCACCACTTAGAGCTATTTGACCACCCTGAAATATAGTTTATGTAGGACAGGTAGCATAAATGCATAATTCTTTTTCTTTTTAGTTGCCAATTTTCATAATATGAAGTTGGAAAGGAAAAAGGTTTGGACTTAGAGCTGAGTAAGGATAAGATGGCCTGGACAGTGGGCAGTGGACAAAGGGACTGTTTGGTAGCTATGTCCAGCCCTTGCTCACTCCAGGACATGGAAGTTTGGGGGACAATGGAAGACTTGGTGTCCTGGCCCTTGGACAGCAATGAGATGGGTATGACGTAGGCCTGTGTGCAGGAAGCTGCAGGACCCAGAGAGATGGGGAGAGACAGACAGAAAGCCAGATACTGGGGAGGCAGAAAGAGAGATAGGAATTGAAAAACAGAACAGAATTGGACCCAGAAAGACAGGAACAAAGACAGAGAGACAAAGAAGGGAAATAGAAATGGAAAAGATCTAGAATGACTTGCTCCCAGAAGCAGAATAGGACAGAAAAGGAGAGAAATAGGAGGTGAGTCAAAAGACCAAGGAAAAGATCTT